CAGCAATACTATGTGCTGCTGCTCAGCTGATACACAAGCTAGGGAATGTACTTCACTGTCAAGCACGAATCCTCTTCTAGTCAGCAGAGCATGGCAGGATGCACTGCAAGCAATGCTCTGCAGCTGGTACGGTTTGATCACAGACTCATTGACTAACAACTTAGTCTAAGCACATGTGACGACCTGTACAATCACAGTGGGTCTCAAATGCCTGCTAGAATGCAGATACGATTATTCTGGCCGTGCGCTGTGCACAGTGTAGTGTCCAGTGTTGGTACGCCACCCCCCCCCCCCCACTCATGCATCACCGCCTAGGGGCTGTGTTCATTCATTCATTCATTCATTACTTCATTTTAAAATTAATTCATTTGTTCATTCATTCATTTTATTCATTTGTTCATTCATTCATTGTATTCATTTGTTCATTAGTTAATTCATTCATTTATTCCGAGGATTATCTATCCAAATGAAGAATATATCAGGGTTATTGTTAGTCACTACATAGCAATCACACGTGACGGTAGTCAGGTTTAGAATATACGCCTCAGTCATGTTAGAGAAATTTTTAAATCTCATTAAAATGTGTCAAGAAACAAGTCAGATCAGATTCAGTTTCGAAAGTTACGCTACACATTACACTATGCACTGTATCACATTATTGGACAACAAGTAGAGACCGTGACAAATGCAGTCAGTCAGTCAGTTCGCAGTGGTGTGATCACGCGCTTAACTTAGCTTACTTGTGCAGCGCTGGGCGAAAAGTCTGACATCAGCTGCACGGAGCGCCGATCACCGGCCCTGGCACCGGCGTTGGCACCGAGACTTTGCCCAGTGCCGCGTTTCACCGGGCCACCTACGCTAGCACTCTGTCGCAGATCCATGTGCTGTGTGTGAACAGGACAGGCGGCCATTATCATTACCATTATCAATTTCAATTATTTCATCAAGCGTTTAAAAAAAGATGTTCAAGATGAAGCTCTAGATCAATAGCTAGTGTAAGGATTAGCATTTACTGGATCAGTGAACATGTTTTAGAATTTTTACAAAGTCAGTCAGTTATACTGTGTGCGTATTCACACACACACGCACGCACGCACGCACACACACACACACACACGCATACACACACACACACACGCACGCACGCACGCACTCGTGCAAACTTACAAACATCAGCAAGCATAGCGGTGAGGTAGATCAAAACGTTAGAGTAGCATTACTTTACACAGTGGCATCAGAGTCAGTGCACGAGCAGCCAGACCAGAGGAGGGCAAGCTGCATCATGGCCATTGCCATCATCACTGCTAGGAGTAAGGCAGTGCGATGTGTAGGTTGTGGTACAAGTAGGAACGGGGGGGAATAGAGCAGTCAGGATAGAAATACAAGGCTTACCATTGACCGACGTGATGATGGAGATCTGCGGTAGGACAAACACACACAGCACACAGCACACACAGTACTCGCCACAGAAATTTGACCCTCTTTACACAATACAGAGAGCCTCGCAGTGTTCCTGCCCACATACAGCATCAAGGTGCATAGATGATTGTACACATCATGCGGGTTCCCCAGTGTATTCATTGTTGCCGCTGCACAGCGTTTGTGCGGGGCGGGGTCGGATTTCTTCGGCCCTAAATATAATATTTTGCTACTCAGCTTGCACCAATAAAAAGAAAATGTTCAAATTCCAGATAGCTAGGTGTAAAAGAAGTTTGTTGTGCACCACGTGCACATGTTTCGAAGTGGTATTACATTCGTTAGGCAGGTGTTAGAGATTCTGTACATGCTCTGTCACTACACATCAGCAACAGTAGCCAGGTACAGAGGCACTTACCCAGAGGTGATAGATTGCGATGTTGGAGTACCTGCAATCGACATTGTAGCACGTGACCTTTCCGGTGTTCTGGAGCCACTTGATGAAGATGCACTGGTTGGTTGCTGAAGCAATGGGGAGAAAGACAAACACAATAGTTGCGGCATTAGTGCTCCGGAAAAGACACACATCTACACCACACATTGTTGACTGCAGCAGTGAGATAATTATAATGTCACTGATCCAGCAACAGGACAAGACGGAACTGGAGAACAAAAGTATTAATGCTGTTACTCGGAGTTTTATGTATTACAGCAATAGACTTTAGTTCCCTTCTCTGTAACTGTACATCATGCACTGCAGTTCAAACAAGGAAGAACATTGACATTGTCGTGCTGCCACAGCGTTTCGCAAACTTACACCACGACGTTCGGCCTGCGGCAAGTACTTGGAGCGCATCTGCTCGTAGCACTCCTCCATGCGCTTGTGGAACTGGGAGAGCGCTTCGGGAGCCAGCTTCTGATGCACATCCAGACCTTCACCCAGGATAATGACCTAAGAGTTAGAACAGAGTGACACAATCACACACAGTCATTGTCACAAGCCACAGGAGCATGCAGCAATGACACGCACCAAAGATCTACCGTCAAAGATGGGATGACTCCTCAAACAAGGTACCATCTGATCAGCAAGACGAGGCATGCCGAAGAGCAAGACCACCGCATAAGCATGGTGTAGACAACATTGCAACGGCCACACTAACCTGTTCCTTGATCAAGTCCTTGATCTCGTCAATGATCAGAATGTGCTCCGGATGCTCGCGGGCATACTCCTCCGTGAAGAACAGCTGTACCAACCAAGCACATACACGCAGAGCACAGCACAATGACACACAGACACACAGTGATACACAGTGCACACTATACACTACAGAACTGAACTGTAAAGTAAGACACGCCAATACCTCACTTAGGGAAGCATAACAAACAGTACACAGGATACGGGAAACACTGTTATCTCGATGTTATCTCTATGTTATCTCTATGTTCGTCCCACAAGCACACCTCCCAGCAGGAAAAGAGTACACAAACGTCCCATCAATGTGCAGATACCCAAACAGTCGCACGTACACATGCACAGACAGACAGACAGACAGACAGACAGACAGACAGACAGACAGACACACACATGCACATACATGCACAGTGACACACACACACACACTCGCACGGGGACGTACGTTTTCATAGTTGGCCAGGCCACCCTGGACAGCGGCATCCAGGACGCCATTCAGAGCCATGCTGAGTGGGTTGAGCTGTGCCGGGTTCTTCTGAGCACGCAGTGACAGTGCACGCAGCTCCTTGTTCTTGCTGACCATCGTCTCCAAGGCATTCTCAATAGGAGAGATCTCAAGCTGCAGTGCAGACAACAACCATGCACGCCCACCCCAATACAGTGACAGAATGCGTTTAGTGACTCTTCTTACACTAAGTTAGAGTCTTGAGGTACATGTAGTACAGCAGTCCTCTAAAAGGTACAGAACTGGATGTTACAACAGTAAGGATAGTTTTGCCATGGCATCCTCTTTTGTTCAATTTAACAACTAATGCTACTAGCAGCCTCTACTTAAGAGTATGCCACCGTTTCAACAGCGCAGGCCACTGTACACGTCACCGTGCACAGTCAGGTGAATATAACACGGCCATGGAGACAGCTGCCGTCGCTGCTTAGTTCCAGTAGAGGAGCACACAACACTGGTCATTCAATGCTATTCCCAGGCTGGTGTTGCTTACTCGCTTCTCGTCGACAACCTCGCACCAGCGCAGCATGCCAGGCAGGCGAGATGCCGTCATGTACACGGTCCTCTCCACCCACATTGTCTGCAAGAACACAGCGGGAATGTTGGCCAAACAGCCAGACAGCCAGACATACACGCACAAAGGGCCAGGAACATGATCAGCTTGGATGCGCACATACTAATAAAGTACTTGAAGTAATAATACTAATTATTATTATGACCTGCTCGTACACAAAGCACACCAGCCAGTGGCAGGAGCAGTGAGAGTCACATTAGTGCCACATTCACACAATGGCACTACCGTACTCGCACGATTATTACTCCTAGGGCACTTTTTTTAAAAGTCCATCACAGATGGGGCACTATTCAAGAGAGGGCACTATTTTTTCAATGCTGGTACATTTATGCCATCCACCATAAAACAAAGAAGGCAGAGGAGGAGGGGGGGGGGGGGGGCACCATCCAAGAGAGGGCTCTAATCGCGCGAGTACGGTAGGTCCCATTGTAAAGTATAAATATTATTCTGAATCAGCATTATTGGAGCCTGCGCACGTGAAAACCTGTCTTACTATGAATCGCATGACCCCATAACATTCGAGTATGGGGGTTTCCCTGTTATGCGCAGCCTTCGGTGAAATTATATTTTGTCAAAAGTTTAGTACTATAGTCACGTGCAATGCTGCTGCGTACAGCACAGAGTAGCGGATAATCTAAGCTTCCTGCTGTTTTTTATTTGATGGAAGTGATTCTTATATTACGGACACAGTTCGTACTCGGCTTGCTGAGTGTAGTGTTTGGACACAGCTGTTGTATTGTTACGTACGCTCATCCTATATACAAGTATGCACCCAACCGCGTGCATCTGGCTTACGTGTGGTGTGCGCAGCTTACGTCATGCTCTGGTATTCGGCACACACGCATGATCACATATCGAGCATGCTGCTTCCTGAGGGTGGTTCTTATATTATTCCTTGCCATGAACACTTTGGAGTTTTGTCAGTACGTGATTGCAACTTCCCAAATATCAAAGTGGCGACGAAGATCAGTAGTATTCACGCGGAATAATGTCGGAGACGGCGAAGTCTTTGGCAGCATTTTCTCTGGAACCGGCGGAGTCCGTGGGACCACGGTGGGAAAAGTGGTTGGCCAGGCTGGAAATTTATTTGCAGGCAAATATCACGAATGACTCGAGGATAGATAGACTTCCCAAATATCAAACTGAGCTGCCAAAGTTCCAGGACATTTCATTCTGGACAAAGTATCATGAGTGCATTGCTAAATGTCACTTCACGGACCTGCTCACATACTCATGCCAAGGGATCACTTCATGGACCTGCTCACATACTCATGCCAAGGGATCACTTCATGGACCTGCTCACATACTCATGCCAAGGGATCTCGAAAGTCACTCGAGCAGTTTGATGGTCCGAAAAAGTTCCCGAAAATAAGGCATGCACTGTACTACACGAACACCACTAGCTGCGAAGCTACATGCATGTGACAATGAGCCACCTTGAGATAGCGTATTGCACTAGCTGCGAAGCTACATGCATGTGACAGTGAGCCACCTTGAGATAGCGTATTGCACTAGCTGCGAAGCTACATGCATGTGACAATGAGCCACCTTGAGATAACGTATTGCACTAGCTACGAAGCTACATGCATGTGACAATGAGCCACCTTGAGATAACGTATTGCACTAGCTGCGAAGCAACATGCATGTGACAATGAGCCACCTTGAGATAACGTATTGCGCTAGCTGCGAAGCTACATGCATGTGACGATGGGCCACCTTGAGATATTATTGCAAGTCTGCAATGCCTTGGTTTGGTTCTGTGTTAGCATAGTGTTGTAGCCAGAGGACATCATTTTTCAACAGGGATACTGACTGTACCCAATCAAGAAAGGTCTCTCGTTGCTCCGAATATTGCTGATCTAAAGTGCATCGTCCAGGAGCTCTACGTGCGGCTCACAGGAGCAGTAAGGAAGAAGGACACCGTGGAGCAACGGCGAAGCATGGCGAAGAGTGATGCCAGTCGGCGACAGGGCCAGTCAGACACAGCTCGACTTTCCTATATTACGGACGCAGTTCGCAGTCGACTGGCTGAGCTGCCAAGGCTCCAGGACATTTCACTCTGGACGAAGGATTTTGAGTGCGTCGCCAAATTTCATTTCATGGATCTGCTCACCTACCCTGTGTATGGTCGTGATAAGACGTTTGATATGGAGAGTATGAAGGGGGTGCGCTTCTCTTGGTTCTGTGGGCCAGTCTTGAGTGTTAGCAGCATGCACATAATGCTCGCAATCTGTTTCCCTCGTACCCTCAGCACATTCGAGGCGTTCTTGACTCTGTAGCCATGCTTATGGCGGCTTTACAATCTTATTCGCACTTCTGGTGTTTTGCTTTCGTATTACGGAGGCTTCGCTCTACGAAATTACGTATGAAAATCTGTATGTCGTACGCGCCGGGGAGCGAGGGCAACTTTCATACGTAAATCTCTCCGAAGGAAAGCTCTTTCCTACGTTGGGTCCTCCGTCGGACTTTTTGAAATACTTTTCGCATTTTCCGGATTTACCCATGGCAACGTTCAAGCCGCGCAAAACACAAGGTACACACACCGTACATCACGTGCAAAATATAATGGAATACGCTGCTTCAGTTCGTGGTGCATGCGGTGGGGCATGCAGCCAACGTGTCTCCAAAGCAACAAGGCATGCTTAGCAGTCGTGGAGAAATCACGTAGCGCGAATCCCAACAGCGCTGATTTTTACGTATGAAAATGACGTGCAGTTTCTACGTTATTTTCATACGTAATTCCGCAGAGCGAAACTTCCCTAGTGTCTTCCACCCAGATGTAAAAACATGTAGGTAGCTTCATTTTCTCTCAAGATAATTTCAATCCAAGTTTTTTTATTAGATTTCTAAAATAATCCCGAAAACAGTCGGCATAACATCTCAAAAGCGTACTCTGAGTCCATAACACAGGCTTTCGCTTTGTGCAGGCTCAATCAAGAGGTCCCTTATGTAGTCACTACATATGCCAACTGTGGACTATTAGTATTATGTACATGTACATGCAGCCACTCACCGCAAACTCTCCGGCTGACTTGGGGCCGCGGCGCACGGGTCGGTTCAAGACGAAGTGACTGATGTTGTTGGCAGCATAGTAGCTATACAGAAAGAGTGTGCAGTACAAAATGGGCTATCACACACAACATCAAGTACCCTTTGACCCTCTATTACCAGCCTCAGGCTTTCGATTGTACGAGTATGTGATCGAAACTTCAGGTGCCGATTTTTGCGGATGATCTTGCTCTTTCGCGTTGTTCTTTCGAGAACTCACAAACGTGTGACTTTACGTAGAACACGAAATCTAGGTAGGATGCGTACATGGAGATGCACCTCCACCCAACGAAGTATTGTCAAATTTGGACAGTGATTCATGACCGACATCATGTGCCCCACAGATGCAGGGGTTGAGTGGAGTTGGAACCAACATGGCTGTCCTGTATGGTCATGTGATATTCTGTGCTACAGCTCTATTCATCAGGGTGGGAGATTTAAAACAACAGTTGTGCTATTAGTAATACTGCATACGCTTAGCATGTCACGGTTTCTCTCTCACATCACCCACACACACACCCAACAAACGTAAAATATTGAGATATCCACCAGGCACCTGTACATGTACGTAAAAAAAAGAATACGGGTGCGTTCTTAAATCCTCTCAGAAAAGTGCGAGAAGTGTTCCTATATCCTCTCTGAATTTTAGGAGACTCTCCAAAGCTCTCCAAGCTCTCCGAACTTCAGAGGTGGTTGAAACTTGGAGATTCCCGCGTTTTGGGGTCAGCGCATGCGAACTACGGCTAAAAGCCATGCGTTGATCACGAGTGTACGACATTCCCTTTTCGCATATGCACAGTGCGTACCACATTCGTGTAAATCAAGATCGCGGCCCCTATGGTGCTTCACATACGCAAAAATCTCCGATTCTTCGACACCCGTTCCTAAATTATCCCAGTTTCTTCCGACTTCCAGGAGAGCTTTCTCCGAGAAGCTAGAGAAAAAAAGAACGCACCCAAAGAAAGAAGCAGAGTAAAACCTACTCAATGATGGAGCTGGCCACGCTCATGCCAGCAAACTTGTCCACGTCATCAGCAATGGGCTCCACCTTGGACACTTGCATGTCTGAAACCCAGGATTCAGTACCGGTCAAGGGTGTACAACACAAACGCAAACACAATGCACCGCGCAGTGGTAGTAGTATGACGTAGTGGGGCTAGGAAAGTGGACAAGTTTCAGCCGTCATCATTGCCTCTGATACGCTCTTGCCAGGTGGGTTCACTTCATACTCTGGGAGACAAGTGGACTTGCTTGTCAGAGAACATGCACTGCATACGCTACCACGCAGTATGCAAATAGTACAAGGAAGAGAAAATGGTGGCAGCGTTCAACAAAAATGCGCTAAATGGCAGGTTGTAGTGGCACACAAAATAACACGAGTCTAAGCTGCCAGGAGTGGAGGAGGATACGCATTCCTTCGATGGTATTGTATTCCTCGCCAGGTGGTGTGTTGAACGTGATCAGCTAGCGAAACAAGCAACAGCAACACAACGAAGTTAACAGACAAGTTGAGACAACCCAGTGTAGCTGGCTAACAGAACGGGTTAGAAAACAGGCATACCGTATTTCCCAGATTATAAATCGCACACCCATTTTCAGGTTTGAACCATATTTTTTCGACATATCCACTTCAGTAGTAAGTCGTGTTCGATCGTAAGTCACAATCCCTTTTTGACCTTGAATTCTAGTGTGAAAAGGTGCGACTTCAACTGTTATATTCGGGAAAATGCGGTAGCCATTTGGTTGAGTATCATCGCTGAGAACTACATTGGTACATGGAAAGCAGCCAGGGCAGTCAGATCAGCAGAGTCATAGTGCTCACCTGCGCTTTTGGGAAGTGGCTCAGCAACATCTGGTTGAACTCTCCCAGACGCTCAAAGTCTTTGCCGCGGAAGATGAACTGCTTGTTCTGTGCGCAGCATGGAAAGAAAGAAGAACGACAAGCAGACCTGAAAGACACACTATCAGCACACCTCTTCTACACTGGAACAGAAGCTGTTGTCGAAATAGCCTAATATTATGTAGACCAAAAATAGTGTTATCTAAAGAAGATGATAGTACAAACGCAAACTCATGGCTAAAATACGTTCACGGCTAGGAGTGGAAATCAGTCAGGCTAACTAACCTTTCTGCATCGTTAGGAACGTCACCACCCTCAAACATCAAGGTGTTCAATGCAGCTATCCTATCGGTGATATCGGTGGACGGGGTGAGTAAATCCCTACCCGTGTTCATGCCTCTCCATTTCCCACACTGGCAGTGCCAGGACACAATCAATTTACAGTGAAACCTGTCTAAGACGACTGCTCAAGGGACCTTCAAAATGTGGCCTCTGTGACCACGTGGTCCCCTTATCCAGGGTTATTCGACTGGAAATAGCATCCCCAGAGACTAGAGCCCATGCTACCACCACTGGAGCCTTACCCGCAAGAACGGCGGAAAGAGAGTGCCGTAGAATCCGACTCTGTAGTACTCCGCCTTGCCGCGCACCGAGTGCATGATGTCATGGTACAGCTTGGAGATGGTTTTCTGCACGCATGCATACACAACAGATTCTCAGTCAAACCTTCACATACATGAGCAAAATCCAAAACATACCTACTATTGTTGCTACTTAGCCATCTACAAAATCTACCCAGTTGGGAAACTGCATGATACAACCCCAGAAGAACAAGCCTACATTCACACGAGCACTTGCTTTTCTGGTATGATCACCAGCATGAGCTAAACAAACAATGACAAGCAAACTAATTCAGCTATCTCCTGTACACTGCTCCTGTCAGGCTGTTCCACAAGTATGACTGTAGATTGGAGTATGCCTCCCCCCCCCTCATTCCTCACCACCACACATGCACACGCACGCACGCACACACACACACACACACACACACACACACACACACACACACACACACACACACACACACACACACACACACACACACACACACACACACACACACACACACACACACACACACACACACACACACACACACACACACACACACAACAAACAAACACACACACACACACACACACAATAAGACTTACATGGATTCCGCTTAGCTGCTCGTAGTCAAACGTGATCATCTCGCATTGCAGTGCTAGCTCTTTACACAGTGGAATGGCACACTCCCACAGCTACAGCAACACAATGAACATCAGCACATGAAACATGAGATTTCAGAAATACTTTGAAGGCAAGAGCTTATACTGCTACGCACATTGTGAAGCCTATTGCTGATGGAAAGAGAGAGGAAAGACAAGAGAAGAAGCAGAGAGTGGAGTGTGTGCGCGTGTGCGTGTGTGTGTGTGTGTGTGTGTGTGTGTGTGTGTGTGTGTGTGTGTGTGTGTGTGTGTGTGTGTGTGTGTTTGCCTACTGGTCATGGTATGGTGGCACCAGCACTTGTTTTCCTCCTATAGAACATCTGATGTCTCGTTTCGGCCAAGCAATGTTGTACCATGACTTGGAACGGTAAAGAAACAAACACACATACATGTTCATTCCTCATCTCAGTCACAGGTGACTTCACACAGCGGTTACCTTGCCCTTGTCAAAGTACTCAATGATGTCTTTGAAGATGAGCTCCTTCAGTTCATACTCGCTGCGTGCCTTGGCGTACGATGGGAACTCTCCATGAGCGGACACAGGCAAGTCTTCCCACTGCGAAGCAGAAGGGAAATCAATCACACAAGCCAAGGTTACGAATACATGTAGTCCTTATGTACTTCGTCGTCACCATACCAATGACATTATCAAATAGTGAGTGCTTGACTCCTAGCAAGAGCCTGCAGCTCTTTCTTCAGCCTCTTCACCATCTTCTGACTCATCCGCAGCTCATGTTCAAATCCGACGCCTGAGCGCCATCTCCGAAGCGGAATTTCACGCTACGCCAAGTGTAACGGTGCGTGAAATCTCTCCAATACCTTTCGGTATGTGGTGGTGTTCCTGCTGCATTCTTTGGGCAAAGTGTGTGCGCAACACAGAACAATTCTCCACCAAAATGCATGAAGGTAAACTCATACGCTATTGAGACTACACACATGCGTGCTGCTGCTGCTGCCTTGCCACTTATCCTCTGAGTGCCGGCTGCCACATGTTTGCGTTCCCACACACTCACTATCTTCACGGCACAAACACACAAAGCCGCGCTCTTTGCACCAGCCATAACTCTCTTTACAAAACACTTCTCCGATTTAGCATAAATTTTACATACGAACTACAGAAGCCCCGAGCTTTCCGTAGAAACCTAATTCCATAGGGCTTTTCCCCAAACAATTTTTGGCCGGATTTCGCTAGCTGTAGAGCAGGAGGGTGGGCAGACAGGCAAGCAGACATGCACATAACCATGATTACCTTCAGAATGCTGGTGTGCAGTAGCAGGGAGAAGGCGGCCTCGCTGTAGTTCTGTGCCTGCAAGTGCAGCGACGACAGCTTGTAGATGTAGCGGATGACCATCTCCTCACGCTCCGTTTCTTGGTAGTATTGCTGAGAAGATTATAACCAGCAAACACGAACACAGATACATGCACGCACGCACACACACACACACACAGTTAGCTTGTTGCAACACCTTTCCTCACAATTGGGTTCACTAATTAATATCAAGGAGAAACTACAGTGGAGTTGGTAAGAGACTATTTGGCTGGCTACCTATGGTATACCAACTAAAGCCCCCCCCCCCCCAAAACATGCTGGACTTTACCACGACTCTACCGATACTAAACTGTCCCCATCATTGCCATGGGAAGACCACAGAAAAGGAGAAGTGAATAGCGTTTCACATAACATGAGCAGATGCTGACACGTACCAGCAAGTTGAAGATGGTCTGCATCCTGGAGATGCTGTACTCATCACCATCTTGAAGGTTCCTGCAAAGGTGGCAGAAAGACAGGCATGCATGCACACCCAAAGCAATGTATCAATCACACTAAAATTGAAGCACCAAAACCACTTCAAGCATAATAGAGTATCAAGCAGAGAACATGCTTGCAACATAATTATGTACCTGAAGTCCAGCAGTCGGCCAAGCAGCTGGGTTAGGTTCTCGACAAACTCAAGAGCGCCGGCTTGCATCAGCTCACGGTTCTTGTTACAAAGCCCGCTCAAACTTCAGACGACACGCAAAAAGAATACAGTCACAAACACAGACAAACAAACGCACAGACACACACAGACACAGACACACACACACACACACACACACACACACACACACACACACACAGACAGACAGACAGACAGACAGACAGACAAACACAGTCCAATACTCAGATTACCCAAACTGGCTAGAAAAGCAGCAAACAGCCCCCCCCCCCCCCCAAAATACAGTATAAATTCACATGCATTGTCCACATGATGACAGATTGAATGAAACCAATCCTAGTAGCTGCAATGTAGATCAACAGCATACAGTTAGAAAATGGGTGATGCAGTGCCTCTCAGTGGCAGTGATCCAGCAGTGACCCAGCAGCAGCAGCAGCATCAGTCCTGTAGCTATGCTAGTTATGCAGCAGGCATGATTGGCACCTACATAGGGTAGAGCAAGTCCATGTATGCATCGTCTCCTTTGCCAGCACCACTGACATGCACATCCAGCTTGTCAATGCACTCTGCTGAGACCTGAGAAAACAAATGCATACATTGCACACACACACATGCACACATATGCACACGCAAAAACACACACACACACGCACAAACACACACACACACGCACAAACACACACGCACGCACACACGCACACACACACACACACACACACACACACACACACACACACACGAGTGTGCATGCAGCAACACACGCATGCACGCACACAATAAGGTATTGGGACACATGCACAAGCAGGCAAGCACTGTACCAGGGTTTGCCACATGTTGCTAAGAACACTCCCTGGCTTGGTATATAGCCGGAGTGGGTGCCAATTCCTATTTCTGCCTGAAAATTTTTGGAGGCAGGGTGGACAGTTCTCTGAGGATCCTTGGAAGTCTGTCTAGCTGCTGGCATGTGGACAAACCAAACGGTGCCCCCCCCCCCCCCCCGACCTGAATTCCACTTCCAACAATATAAGATACCCGGGATGTGCAGGTGCATGCAGCCATATGTGACTGGCACATGTCGGAAATGCAGGGAGAGTGCAGGGACAATGCAGGGGCAGTGCAGGGGCAGTGCAGGGAGAGTGCAGGGGCAGTGCAGGGACAATGCCGGGACAATGCAGGGACAATGCAGGGGCAGTGCAGGGACAATGCAGGGAGAGTGCGGGGGGGGGGGGGGGGGGGGTGTTCTTACCTGCCGATAGTCTCCGGTCTGCACAAACTCACACACCATCAAGTCGTAGAAGACGGGAATAGTTCCACAGCGAATCTCTGCACAAACAACACGACAGCAACGGCAGCCAAGCAATCAGAACATAGCCAGCAGCAGCAACACCAGAAATGCCAAGGTCATTCGATGGCTGTGTGTGTGTATGTGCGCGCGTGCGCGCGCACATGCGTGTGTGAGAGAGAGGTGGAGAAGACAGGCACACACGTACCATGCTCGCGGATCAGTGACATGTCCATGAAGGGACCGACGATCCATGGCAGGAACAGCTGCTTCTGTTCAGTTGCTGGAGAACAATGAAACCAACAGAGCATAGTTCATGCATGGCCAGTACAATAGAGCTTCCACTATTCGGGCACACTGGAACCCAGCACTGTCCACAGCTCAGAATATACATGCACATACTGTTTGCATGCTAGTAAACAGTTTTTATGCCAATCAAATTGGAGCAATATTTTGAAGCTGGTGTTGTAACTCGCTTTTCTCTACCTGCTCCCAGTCCCGTGCCATCTCCACACTTGTACAAAGGGACGACGATAACTACATTTAGAAGACTATATTTGTGACAAGACGACGGAACCACAAATATACATGACGAACTCAAGACGAAGACATGATGAACTCAAGACGAAGACTGCTTTTCACACCACAGCAACACGCGCATGCACCAACATGACGTACACACGACGTACACAAAATAACGTACTACAACACTGGCTTTCGTTGAAACGTCATTTTCGTGACTCAGAGGGTTCGGGAGGGCGCCCAGTAGACAGGAGTGCCCGAATCCGGGGAGTCTAAATGAGAGAAGTGTTACTGTACAACCGTGTCATAACCGTACACTTGCCAGCAGTGATCAACATAAACTGTACAGTACAATACAAAAAAAACTACCCACGAATACTACAGCAATATGCTATGTAAATCAAGAAAGCCAAGCATTGTTATTATTATGCACACACTCATGGTCAAAGCCAATCAAAGGAGGCGAGGGTGATAATAACCAGCATGATAAGCATGCCGGCAGGTTGGATGACTATCAGGCAAGGCTTGCGTAATGTATATACATGTAGTGCGTACCCAAACTGTTCCACATGGACAGCACACGTTGACTGATGTGCAGACGCAAGTCACCGTAGCTGCAAAACGAACAGGACAGTACATACATAAACACATACATGTGCACGTATGCACACCCACATACCCATACACCAACACACCCACATGCACACATACACACACACGCACGCACGCATGCACACACACACACACACATGCGCACGCATGCACACACACACACATGCACACACGCATGCACACACGCACACATGCATGCATGCATGCATGCATGCACACACACACACACACACACACACACGCGCGCGCGCACACACACACACGACAGTGAACACCAGTTAGTGTATTCAGTTGCTATCTTCGAGGTACGATATTCTCGCCACAGCCGAAGCGAAGATAAGACTGCTCGCCTCCTCAGTCTCAATCGATGTTTAAGGTGTACAGTACCCTGACCAAGAGGATGCGGATGGTGGCCAGACCCAAACCCCGTAGTGATGAGGTTGTGTGAACTATTGTTCTATCAGAATTACCCATCGTCTATAGATAACTATAGGACGTCAGGGCAAGGAGCGAGTTTGTGTGCGGCTGGGCGTTTCGTTTGTGTGCGAGAGAGAAAGAGAGAAAGAGAGAAAGAGAGAGAGAAGAGAGAGAGAGAGAGAGAGAGAGAGAGAACTATAGAATAAGAAGACAGCAAATACCGGCAGCTTACACTGCCATCTGCTTGTTGCGCTTGGATGCGGTGAAGGTCTCCAGCTGCAGTGCTCCTTGGGTCACAAACGCTATGCAGACGTCGAAATACAATTTCCACAGCTGCAGGGCCAAACACAGAAGTAAAGGGTACACGACGGCATTAGAAAG